ACTGATGAGCATTTTTTGGCTTAGAAAAGTATCATTTCCACTTCCAAGAAGAACACCAATATTGTTAGTACCATAATTAGCGGTAATGATATCGAGTTGAGTGTCGTTGTTTAGATCACTAATAGCGACATATCGTAGACTAGAAGCACCACCAGATGCGTAAGTCATGTATTTGATCAAGGCTCCTCTATTATATTGAAGCAGTACACTGGCACTATTGCTACCATAATTGGCGACAACAACATCGAGATGAGTATCATTGTTGAAATCACCAACAGCTAGAAAGTATGGCGAAGTATCAGTTGAAAACGTCATTTGATCTGCAAATGAACCATTCCCATATCCAAAAAAAATACTTAAGTTATCGTTACCATTATTAACCACAACAATATCCAATCGATTGTCGTTGTTGAAATCATCGACAGCTACAAAGGATGGCTTAGCGCCACTTGAATATCTCATTTGATCTGCAAATGAACCATTGCCATATCCAACAAGTACACTAATGTCATCGGTCCAAAAGTTCGCCACAATAATATCCAGTCGATTATCATTGTTGAAATCATCGACAGCTACAGAACATGGCGAAGTGCCAGTTGAAAACGTTATTTGATCTGCAAATGAACCATTACCATATCCAACAAGAACACCGATGTTACTGTCCCAAAAGTTTGCTACAACAATATCCAGTCGATTATCATTGTTGAAATCACCAACAGCGACAGACTGTGGAAGAGAACCAGATGAATATATCATTTGATCTGCAAATGAACCATTACCAAATCCAAGAAGGACACTGATGGTATTGGTACCATTATTGGCGACTATAATATCCGATCGATTATCATTGTTAAAATCACCGACAGCTACAAAGTATGGATTAGCACCAGTTGAATATGTTATTTGCTCTGTAAATGTACCATTAGCATATCCCAAAAGTACACTAATATTATTGCTAAGATAATTGGTGACAACAATATCCAGTAGGTTATCATTGTTGAAATCACCAACACATAGAGAGGTTGGCTGAGTACCAGTTGAATACGTTGTTTGACTTGGAAAACCTTCAAAATAACCAAGGAAAATATCAATAGCACCAGTATCATTATTAACGACCATAATGTCTAATCGATTATCTTTATTCAAATCATATATGGCGAACGCAATCGAAGACGAAGAACCACTTGAATAGTATGTAAGCGAGCTTTCAAAAGTACCGTTGCCAGATGCTAAAAGAACACCGATATTATTAATGCCTTGATTAGTGACAAGTACATCCATTTGATTGTCCTTATTAAAATCACCGATGCCAATCGAGTATGGAGATGCATTATCGATAGAATAAGTTATCTGATTCGTAAAACTGTCATTAGCATTGCTCAGAAATAAACCAATGTTTTTAGTTCCGTAGTTAGCTACAACAATGTCGAGGAAGATGTCATCATTAAGATAGCCAACAGCGATTGAATATGGATGAGATCCAACACCAGTTGAAAACGTGATTTGGTTTCCAAAAGTATTGTTTTGATTACCGAAAAGAATACCAACATTGTTAGTGCCAGCATTAGCGATAGCAATGTCTAAATAATTGTCATTATTGAAATCATCAATAACCAACGACATTGGAAGAGAATCATAGCCAGTTAGATATGTTACAGGAGATGAAAAATTCCCATTTCCATGCCCATAGAATATACTTATACTCTGTGTTCCATAATTGACAGTTGCAGTATCAGGTAGTGTGTCGTTATTCAAATCTGAGATACCAATTGAAATTGGACGAGATGAGCCGGTTGAAAGTTCTCTTTGATCAGTGAATGATCCATTTCCAAATCCAAGAAATATGCCGACATTATTAGTCCCAAAATTGGCCACGACAATATCCAATTTAAAATCATTATTAAGATCATGAACAGCGACCATGTAAGGAGCAGAACCAATACCAGTCGAATATATTGTTGGACTTCCAAGTATAATGCTACTATTTCCAAAAGCCACACTTATACTGTCTACAGCATTATTAGCGATAACGACATCGAACCACGTATCATTATTAAAGTCGCCGATAGCAATAGATCGTGGACCATATTTGTATTCGATTGGGTTTGGGTTAATTTTACTGAACTTCAGCTCACACTTTGAAGCTAGATAATAAAAATAAAGACTGATTTGATATTCCTGTTTATCTATCTCTATAATTTCAATGATATTCTGTTGTAAACTATTGAAGAAAAAACACTACTATGCAATCAGAGTGAACAAAGATTGTAGACTGACAAACATTATACCTATACAAAATCTTAAATATACAGGATTTACGTGAGTGACTATAAAAAAATCTTCCTAAGAAATTGTGTTTCTTTCATCATTCTCTAATCTGTCTGAAATTGATCTACAGTCAATATATCAATTCGATTACTGATTATTATCTTGTGATACTTCTAAATTAATAATCTTTACTTCAACTACTATTCAACTCAAGATGAGAAATGTTAAACATGAGCAAACCTGATTGTTTCGGTGAAGTAAAACAGACTACCAATATAGCAATGAGCATTGCTATGGTGGAAAACATACTAAATGCACAAACAGGATGAACCGTTAAATGCAATATTGATCGGAAGCAAGATTTTCTAAAAACGAGAGCAATAAGATCATACATAATATGAAAAAGAAAACGGCATACCTAGTGTTCAAAGCTATATTTTTTGTCCGTTGATTGTCAGTATTATCGTTTACCCTCTCTTCAGCATTTATAATTGAGATTGGGTTCAAATTTTCGTTTCCATTGGCAGTCATAATTTCCTAATAAAACAAGCAGATGATCAATATATTACTAATGTTCATAGAATATAGTTCAATTAATATAAGAAGATAGTTGTCAAAGAAAAACATATCTCTATATATTGTTCAATCTTAATAATATTTTAACTATAAAATGAAAGCATTTTCTGATAAAATAACACTCGATTCATTGATCGTTACGTAAGACCTTTTATGACTTCAGTCAAGTCAAAAGCGACTTAACTTGCTCGTCTTTGATCTAATCAAATAGTTTTATGAATATGCTCTGTGCTAAAAGTAATACGTCTTTTTCTCCTCCTTTTCGATTGTTTTGTATGAACACTAATTTAATAGCAAGTATCACATATGGATTCATAGAAATGAAACTGAAAAGAATGGTTAAAACTAATCAAAACTCTTCCGCGATATGCCAAAATAAACTAGCTTTTAGAAAATCGTAACGAAATCAGGTTTCAATGAATACATATTTTATAGTATTTGCATCTCCATTATCATCATTCAATATTATTATTTTATTTATTTTATTGGATCTAAGTAGATATATTTAGTATACAGTAAGTAAATAATTTTTTTTATTGATTTATATTTATTTTTTAAGTACTTTACTTTATCTTATTATTTTAGAACATTTAATGAAAGATATTTGTACCTCACTTTGAAGGTAGAAGAGGTAACACGTACGGTAAAAAAGATAATATCTTTAACATACAACACAATAATACGATCGTAAACCATCGTGTACAGTCTCAGTAAAACTCGACCTGAAAGGAAACTAACTGTCCACGAGCTTTGAAAAAATAAGAAAAAAAATGTTGTTTTCGTTCGTGAATTGTTTGAAGCGGCGACTATGACTTTACTGATACAATGAATATTATTAATTTATAAATAGTTACCTGTAAACTATGTTCACGAAAGATCAAAGTCGAAGAAGGATCGGCGTATATACTAGCTGCGAATATAAATGAAAGCAAAAAATGAAACAAAAATGTGTTAAATACACTCTTTTATTTCTCCTTTGATGTGATAGTTATTGATGCATGAATCTTCTTTATTTGACGATTTCGTAAAAATAATCAAATAGTCAGGCAAAACAGCACAAAGGAGGGGGTCTCTCATCGTCCGTTTATACAAACAATATTGCCTATAATGTATGTGCGCAGAGAAAAAAAATACATTAGCCATTTCAGTCACACCAACGAAATATGTATAAATAATTAGATTATGCATGACAAAACCTTTCTCTCTCGTCATGTATGTTAGAAATATTGCCTATAATTAATGTGTGAAGATAAAAGAAAAAGTATTCATGAGTCAGCTCTCTTTTTTCTCATAATGAAAAATGCACCGTTAATTGATGCGCAAATAAGGTCTTTCTCTTGTCATTTATTCTAACAAATATTATGTTTATTTTATATATGAAAAGAAACGAAAAAAACAAAACACCGTCGTAATCGAACACGCTTGATCGTTTATTATGTCTTTTCGTTTAAATATTTCATCGAATCTTCTATTACGGTAGATCGTTTTATAAAAATGTTTGTGCATAAAAAACTCATCAGATCAATTTTTACAATTTATTCTAATATTTTTATTTTCATTTTTTTTATATGTATTGAGTAGATGCATTGTAAAAAAGATTCATGTAATCCAATATGATTGAATATTAAACTTCTGAATATTAAGTTTCAGAATATTTATTGAAAAGGAATTTATTTTTTTCTGATAAGAATAAATAAATGAGTAAAATAAGAATTGATAATATTCTAATTGAGATTTTTCGTTTATAATTATGTATTCGATATAAAAACTAAGAATGAAACTATATTCTTCGATATAGTGATTACAGAAATGAAATAGTCAGTTATTAATTGATTAGACGAATAAATAAATTTCAAAATTACATATGATGTCTTTTTATAATATCCCCGGACATTCGATTATGCTCTAAGGTACGAAATGTATAGCAGATATAGGAGATATAGGAGGTATAGGAGATATAGTAGATATAGAGGTATAGGAGATATAGAGGTATAGGAGGTATAGGAGGTATAGGAGATATAGGAGATATAGGAGGTATAGGAGATA